CCCCCCCCCCCCCCCCCCCCAAGGGAACACAAATTTCCCGCCCACGAAACAAGGCAGATGGTGAGCTACGAGCAGCTACTACACTGCAGCAGCTGGGGGTGGTGACTTAGGGTTTAGGGCTTGAGGCATTTATAGAGGGGGGGGGGTATTATTAGGAGCAAATCTTGCGAGGGTTGAGAGAAGAAGAAGTCGTAGTGGTGGTAGTAGTTCCCCAGCATGAAGAAGAAGAGGAAGGGTTGATGCTGGCGCTACCATCGTTCCGCGGGGAAACTTGAAGCGTGAGGCTTGGTGCGAGTAGAGCTGGTAATCCTTGGAGGCCTGCCGCAGGGCTGGAAGTGCTCAACGAGAGGGCCTTAGCAGGCACGCAGGCAGACTAATCGACAAGTTTTCCAAAGTGGGAGCAGAAGTGGAGCATGGGAAGATCGGAAGGGCAAAAGCCCAGTAAGGTGCAGCATGCTTAATGGATGGATGCTTGTTGAAATCTGTGCTTCCTGGCGTGAAGGTGTAGTCAAGATGCGAAGTGCAGGGCCGGAACCAGTCTGCGGGTCGACAGGAATGGGTCTGTTTCGGTCCTAGTCGTCTGCATGCTGTGAGCAGATGATCTGGAGTGCAAGTCTGAGACTTTGCTTTGCTCAAGCTAGAGGTGTTACATACTTTCGTTTTCAGGCCGCTGGAAGATGCTACATGCAGCCCTAGCAGCCCTTAAGAAGCTAAGCCACAGACCGCATCCTTGCCTGATGTCGTATTGTAATGGTGACATGTGTTCTGTCTCAGTGCTTTGTTGCAGTGCGATAGCACTCGGACAGGTTTCCCGAGCTGCGAGTGGTAAACAAAACCCTAGTACCTGGCTTACATTGTAACTACAGAGGTCAGCTTGTAGGAGCTAGCGCTGAGTTGCTGTGCCACCAAGGATATGCATCAGAAAGCAGCAGGCCTTGGGATGGTTCACGTGCTTTCTGCGCAGCCATCACAACTTGATTGCGTCGCTTTTTTTCACTGCTTCCGGAAGTATGTTGCAAACTTGATACCGGGAGCAGTGTACCGGTCCGAAACAGCAGTGCCAGCTACGTCCATGGTTCATGATCTGTTTAGCTTCCGTTTCCCTGCTGCCAGGATCATTAGCGGAGTCCACACGCGGATTCAGACCTGGCCTAGCCACTGGTAGTAGCAGGAAGAACAGAGGAGGAGTAGGGAGTAGGGAGTAGCTTGACCTAGTCATGTTCTTTCTCTAAACCCCGCACTTGCCAGGGTTCGGCTTCTGGTACCCCTCTCTGGAGGTGCGCACGGCTTTGTGAACCGCTGTTCGGGGATGCCAAGGAGTCAAGGAGCTTAATTCTGTCTGTCTTCCAGATATCGTCAGGGAAACCAGCGCGAGGTTCAGGACACAGAACCCGGACCTCTTCCAGCAAGAGCAACTGCCAGGTGTGGCAGTGGCGAAGGACTTTATCCTACTGGATTGCAGTGACATTCTTCGAAGGCCGACTGCCCGACCGCTACCACACATGTCAGGTCTGTGCCAATTATCATTCCAAGTCGTGGCTAATATGGGGGCCATAATGCCATAATGATTAGCAGGGTTTGGGGTGTGTTATTCTAGAATTATGATTAGGCCCCTATATGAGTCAATTGTAGCGGGGTGCGTGGCCATGTGCCTTTCCTGGGGAATTCTGGAGGCCCTGAGGGGTGTGGGAAGGGGGGAAATATCAATATAAGATGATATCATATCAAAATAATAAGATATTGACATTGATGGCACACTGTAATAACACAAAACTGGCTGAGGTTCAATCTTCTTTACGCTTTCCTCGTTCCTTTGGTGCTATGCAGAGGACGGACGGCAGATAGGTTGGCCACTGGGGCACGTTGGAAGTTGCAAACGCCCACTTGGCAGCAGTCTTTCCAACAACTTTGAATGGCTTCCATGTTCACCGCCTCGCATGGGCAAGTCGACACGATCTATGAAGCCTGACACATGCATCTCCCCCTTAAACTTGCGAAGGAGCTTGGCACCATGAAGGAAGCCCTGACGAAGTGGGGCTACGTTGGTGGAAAGATCAACTTCATTGTATGCACTTACCTGATGTGCATTGAATCTCGGAAAGATTCGTGGTTTGTGTGTTTAGATGCAGGCTTCGTTTTCTGCAATCAACACTGGCCATTTTGACAGCCTGCCTACTACTGCGTTCCTAAAGCGAAATGCAGAATCCGTACCGAGGTCTGCGGGATTTGATCGTTCAGCTGAGGAAACGATCAATCTGACGGCCGACCACGAGGAGCAGAGGCGAACAACCATAGACAAGATCACAGGCGCAGCTGCTGCATCCTCGTCGGAAACTCGGCATCATGGAACGCTTTGGAGATGCTGGGTCTTGCTGTCACTGATCTGATCCTACTTCTGCCTTCCGAGCCCGCTGCTGTTACTAGCACCACGACGACGACGACTACTACTACTCCTGCTGCTGCTACGACTAC